CGTGATTTGAATGATAAGGAATGCGATTTTTTTCATTCTGATTTCACCAGATGATACAGAAAGTTGAGTAGTATTTGAGAATTGAAGAAAAAAAATTTAATTATTTTTTTCATTTTTCGCCATTTTTTACCATTTACATGGGAGGCTTGTATGAAACACACGGAAGACCGCTGGAATGACACTGTCGTATCACACGCGTATAAAAAAATCAATTTTTTCGGCGTAAAAACAAGATCCCGATTGTTGCGAGGAAAAAAAACTATAGACAAAATTGAGAGCAAAAACACGACATATCTAGCCTGCGGGCAAAAACAAGTAATCGATATATTGTGTTTTTGCCCTCAGTTTTTTACAAAATCTTTTTGTTCTTAAATTTGAAAGTTCTCTACATACGCTGAAGAATTTGCATCGTGTTTTTACGCTCAAGTTCTTCCATTTCGGTTTTACTATTAGGCTGTCATATATGAATCTTTCAATCCAAAAAAAAAAAAAACAGGGCACTATTTTCTAGTTTTAGAAATTGGGAAATAAATAATAAGCAAATAATTTGAGAAAATTTACGCTGTACATTATTTTTAATAATCATAACGTTAATATTCTTTCTACCCAATGAACAATTTGTAATACAAATTCACCCATTACCAGGCACAAATCCACGGTAAAATTTGGACCCGAATTTGTGTGTAGTTTCAGTTATTTTTACGGTTGCCATAGCGTAACATTCAGGTGTGAATACATGGAAAAAAGAAACGACAATCATTAGTATCAATTGAATTATATATGAAATATCATTTTTTTAAATTAAAAACTTTACTCACCTACGGGCTTCTTCCCTCCAGACTACCGTTGTACTGTTCTTATGAACGCACAACAAGGCCACAAGATTTGTGTAACAAAAATGGTGTCAAGCCTAGCTACGCTAACTAATCGTTATAATATTTGTTTTATCTAATAATTTATGGATTCAGTGCTGCTGTCAGTTGACATTGTTTGGTGGTCTTCTCAACGAATCAGGCAAAGTCCTGTGTAATTTGAAGCAAAAACATTAAAAAATGAATAGACTCTATTTTCTATTGATTCATACCTTTGAGCATAATGCATTTTGCAGCAACAATATCGCGGTGCCAAACAACTGTCTGTGGAGCAGCAACATCACCCTGAACATTCAGTGGGATGATATACGTGTAATCACCGGCTTCAAGTTTTTGTTTGATTCGTTCGCGATTGAATTCGGTCTTCTCACGTTTTGGTGTTTCGAATAATACCGAAGCCGAAACGCTATCGCACATAATCATACGGTGAATTTGCTGGTTTGGTCTTTTGAGTTCATTTATATTCTTCATGTCGAATAAAATATTCCAAGCGTCGTATGGGTTTTCTTCAAAATGATTTTTGCTATACATAGAACTTCCTCCATCTTTGCCACCAAATTCTTCTGGAATCAGTTTCCATCGAGCCAATAGTGCTAACAAATCCGTATGATCGAATCTGATGTGTTTGAGTTTATTATCACACAACGGTACAACGGTGATATTGCGAATCTTTGGCGGCAGTGGTTGCATCGGTTTTTCGAACAACAATGGATTTTTCTTGAGTCGCAGCCATGCGTGCACTAGCTGTTGATGTTCTGCCTTGAATTCACTAATTTCACGTTGTATTTGGATGAAAAAATAAAGTGATTCAAACCACTTTTTCTCGATGTATTGAGTCATTGTGAGATAATCGCCAAATGATGGTAAACAACGTTCTTTCACCGCAACAAACAGCCTACCTCATTCATTTTGAATTTTCGAACTGGATCGCCTTCACTTCAGTCTTTATTGCGCATAATGCTTTCGATTGCGTTTCGGATATCGATGTCATCAAATTTGAATAATCTGTACGGTTCCTGATTGAATTGGTAGCGCTTCATTTGCAAGAAGTACGCCAATTCCTTCTCACAATGTGTGGTATGCTATGTTGTCACATTGCTGAGGTATTGTTGATGCATATACTCAAATGCATTTCCCATCAGGTCACGAGATGGCCACTCAAATTCGTTGTTAGTCAATTCCTCGACCATTTCAATAAACTCGTCTGGCATTTGATTTGTAAATTCACCATTGGTGCGTGCCACAGCGGTGAAAATTTGACGAATTTCTCTTTTCCCATTAGTTTTAATAAAAAAAGTGACCGACGAGGTAGTCTGCATATTCATCTCTGAATATTGAGTTGGCGGGTACTTTACGTGTTCGTATTTCGACATTTTCTTTCTTGTTTTGCTTTCTTTCTCGGAACACCGCCAACAATTTTAAGCCCTCGCCTTTTTGCCATTATGATTCTAATGAAAATTATTAGTTGATTTTATTATGACAGAGTCTCCATTATATATTTGAACAATATTTCGATGTATTAATACCTTTATAAAGGCAACGATTGGAATCTTTATCCCATCAGCTCAATATGAACATCGATTGTACAATGTGGTGAAATACTTCCAATATTGACAACGAAATTCAAATATTTTGCTGCGTCACTTTAGAATTGAGAATGTAAAACAGAACGATGCTAAAAATCATATGAAAGCATTTGTTTATACTAACAATACCGTCACACGATGCGAACGCTTTGAATGCAGAGCACATATTTAATATATACAAATATCGTTCGTATATGTGTGCGTCAACCGAAAAATGTCAGAAAGATTCGGTTGCATTTCGAAAATTCTTGAAGCAAAGAAAAATAAATGCAATAAATGACGTATAAAAAATGTTCTTCTCCAGAATTTCAAATCAAATTACGCGAATCTCTTCTCAAATTAATTGTTTATTTTTTATTTGAGCGTGAATAAACAAATGAATCGTTAGATTTGCAATTTAAAACTTAATGTATTGGGTTGTGTTCACATTATATTGTCAAATGAAATATTATTGGAAGTGAAAGAAACAAGTGGATCCATTCCATTGGAATTCGTGGAAACTATGCATATAATGTCCGTTCCATTTGACATGAAAATGACCACCAGAAGGGGCCAAAACGTTTCATTTTTCAACGTTAGAATGTACTAAAAACATTACAAATTTGTTGCCCATACATGGGTGCTATGGATTTTTATCTAATAGATTATCAAATGTCTGATCAAGCAAGTTCAAATAAAGAAAGTATACAGCAAAAAATGATGCCTTCTTATTTCTTTCAGCGACAGTGTAATTTAATTATGATTTGAACTGCAACATGCCCACAACTGTGTTTAAATTTCCACATAAAGTTGGCTTTGATGACCGATCATAAAATTGTGGGCATTAAGGTTTCTGGTAATCTACATTATTCAAATGGGAATCGATTACAATCCAGGACTTTGGTTAGATAACTTAAGTCACATAGATGGAATTTGTTTTTTTTTTAGTTTATTATTTTACACGGAGAAGTGAAACGAATTTTTGTTCCGGTAAAAGTTGTGTTATCTATAGAAGTTATAATTTTTTTAGGTGATATTTCAAATTTGAGTGATATTTTCTTAAATTATTAAGTTAAAGATTATTTTCATTGCTTATTGTTGATCTTTACCAACAAATTTTAAACATTGAAACCAATATCTAACGCCTTATTAGAATTGGGCTAAAAATATATCCATCGGTAATAATGGTGTAATTCACCACCCATTGCGTAAAAGATACACCAGAAAGATGTGTGAATGGATATAGCATAGAAATTGCTCATCTGCGGGGTGTACTTGAATATTATATTTTTCGCTTAGTATATTCAATTATTTTGATATATCTAATAAGAAACGAAACTTTTCTATCCATGTTTGAATGTTCGATATGGAATGAATACTCTTTGAATATGAACTATTTCAATCATGATTGAGTGAATCGTTATTATATGGTGAATATAAAAGATGGAGATATTATTATTATGATTCATTTTCTGACTTCGATTTGTACTTGTTCTTTATATGAAAATAAATGTACATGCATTTGTGTATGTTTGTAAAAGAATAAAATTACACGCTTTTCACCATGGAACGATAACGTATCTATATAAAAGCGCAACGCATTGGGATTTCTCAAAATATTAGCCTTTCGTCTGCAAAAACAGTTAGATATCCTGTGAAAAATTATATTCTTGCGAAACTGGTTTATTTTAATATTAACAACATTTTAACGTTATTAAGTTAGTATACCTATTTTGAAGAACGCAGTATTTCGACAAATTCATGGTAAGTATGTTATTGTAATTTAATTCATTCAAAAAGCTTCTATATACAAAAAAAATGAAAAATAAGTGTTGATAATTAAGTGTTTGTAAAGATAAAATATGCCTGCAATTTTAAAAGTGATCACTTTTTCTCCTCATATTTTTAAAGATATAATTTTATGTTGTTTTATTAATAATAAAACACAATATATTTTAAGTAAGACTTTTGTACGAAATACTTGTTAGTTTTTGGATACAGAAATATCGATGTTACATAGTCGAAAATTGAAAATTTAATACAATATAGATAGTATGCGAAATCTCAAAAACCTAAAAAATACTATTGAATTGATATCATCAAAATTGAACGGATCATAAATTTCTTTGGAAAATGAAATGGTTTTAATAAAATGTCTTTCACTATTTATAACATCTTCATAACGGATTAAATTTGGTAAATAAAGATATCAGTCAATATCTAGTAAAATATTTTCATTCAAAAACAAATCTTGATCCAATTCCCATTTTTTATTTTGAGTTCGAAAATGGAGTTTCCACGATTTGTTTGTATCTTCCACTGACAAAAGACATTTTTATGCTTAAATTTCTAATGTTTATGATGAAACTATAAATATTCTTTCGATTTACTTAGTTTTTTTACAACAATTCGATACCCTCTCCTTATGTTATGAATTTTCATCTCTTCAAATGTTTTTTTTTTTTCGAGAATTTCGTACACAAAATGGTTCAAAAAATTTACCCACTCCAACAGAAAAATCTAAGCTCACACACTACGGATCTAATTTCGAATCTTATTTGACACTAAATTATTAAGTTAAAGATCATCATAGTTAGCCGTTTTTTGGAACTTTTTGGATATAAAATCTATGAAGAATACATGATACTTCTGAATGAAGTAACCTTAATACCTTTTTAACATTAAAAAAATGTTTAAACATCGAAAAACATTTTACCGTTGAATGAGTTAGACTTTATTTTATGTTTCAATTGTTTTGTTATTTATTGAATGTCATATTATGTTAATCCATCGAATATGCCAATGAATGTCTAATAATAGGCCATTTCCTGTATTTCGGTATCGCTTGTGTATGGATGTGACTTAAAACAACTACATACACCGTTTGACATAAGTGAAACATCTTAAACATTCAATACAATAATGTGATCAAATTGGGATTCATAGATGAATACTATCACTATATACTGACCATGATTATTTATTCACCGAATTATAAATAAACGTATTTTAAATATTCTTATAGATACATTTTATATCCGAATTTGCAAAAGAAAAATATATTCATTTTTTGACAACAAACACAATAAAATCCCATCTATATTATTCTATTTTTTCGGAATAAATTTATTGTTTTGGAATTCAATATGTGTTCAAGTCAGTTCTGTATGCAACTAAAGCGTATGTCCACTATATGTAACGACACGATTATTTCATTTGATTGCTCAGATAATCTTTTATTTAACTATGTTGCCTAATATAACGGTATATGTTGTTGTATACTCACATACTTGTTGCATTTTGTGTTGAGCTGAGAGAGGAAATTATCATTTAAATTTCTTCCATTTTGATTTTTGATCCCCAAGCAAAAAGTAAAATTAGTATACCTAACAATATGAGAAAAGATAACCAAAACAAACGACATCATACGAATACACGAATAACTTACTTTTGCCAGAAAAGACGATGTCCAATCATACACACTCGAAAAACATAGCATACAGATATATACGAGAAACGGAAATATTTGTTCGCTATCATTATTACACACGACGGAATGTATTGTTTTATAATCCGCAGTTTTTTTTAGTTCATTGTCGTTGTTTTCGGAATTTGGTTTAATAAAATTGATAATTATAATATATTTTTTTCTTTTTTGCAAAAAATCTTTGGCTTTTTAAAGATATGATTCAAAGAAAAAGAAACTATGAATATATATATATATATATATAACTCTTTAAAAATGTGGCGTGTAAATTATATTCTTAACTCGTATGAAACAGCAAACGAATAATGCTAGTTTGATATAATTTTGAAATCAAATGTAAACAATGTAGTGAAAATGTATGAAAATAGACTAGAAATCTATTGGCATCGATGGACTAGTGCATGGAAGTCCGATGCTTTTGTATAAACTTACAGAATGTTATGAAAATCTGAACCTCATTATAAAAAAATAGAACATAATAATTGAATACAATAAAGTGTCATGTTTTTAAGATAATTCAACTTAATAATAATTCCTTTGATAAATCTTGATACAGTTTTTGTCTATATCCTATTGGAATCAAATTTTGAATAAAAAGGATGCGATCATGCAAAATGGAACTGAACTACGCAAAATTGGATAATAAACGTTGGGTATGTCTGGTGAAAAGAATTTTAAACAAGTGAAACTACATATAAACTGTTTTGAAATTAACAACTCCACTCATGTACTTTGACAAGGCAACATAAGTCTATAAGACTTTGTATCATATGAATCTTCGAGAATAAATGTTAGACTTCGACTGAGATTCTATTGTATGCATTTTATTTTTTTATGGCAGTGTTACACTTTTATTAAATCTCTCAGGAGAAATTTCATAATATTTCTCGAAAAATCATAATTTCTATTGTTTTAGTTCGGATTTTATGCTGCTATTTGTCAGTCTACGAATGATAAATATGATAAAACTTCTACCTTTGACATTAAAACGTGCCACGTGGAACATGCAATAGGTACGATTTGCTCTTTGATTATAAACCTACCAGTTTTTTGGATAAACCACCACTATACACACAGCAATCAACGTTTAACAATTACTATTATTCTTCTTTGATTTGCATTATGATTCATCATATCTACCATTTAGCTGCGTTCTAACAATCAATAGTGTGATCAGAAGATGTGGGAGGATTAATTATTTATCAAAAGTCTATTCACACATTTAAAAGCCAATTTTTGAAGATCTCAGGTAGACTTAAATCCAACAATTTAAAACTACTGACATATTCCACAAATATTAGATTCACTGTATAATGCTATTGGTTTTAATGAATATTTTTTTTCGGTTTTTAAATGAATATTTCAACAAAATTTTAAAAATAGTTTAATTTGATAAGGTTTTTCGAGCTGATGAAATTTGGAAAATATTTGATTTAATAAGGTTTAAACGTTTTTTAAAGACAGAAAATACTCAAATTTATTAGAGATTTTCGGGGTTTATTGGTGAAAAAAAATTCGATTTTGCCAGAAATTTGAATTTTTTAGGTTTTTTTATTTTTTGTAAAAATTATAGTTTATGAACTTAAAAATTTCAATGCAAAACTCATGACGAAAATTAACCTTCAACAAATTGCAGTCAAGGTAAAGCAAGTCGCTTTTATTGATATGTTCAAAATTGACAAGAACTTTTGACTTAGATGAAAGAGATACGAGTGGTGGTATGTCAATTGA